TAGTGCCCCATCCAGGGAGCGGATGACTTTTCAGCAGGAGCTTCTGCTGGCTGCAGAAGGCCTGTCCTGAGCCTCTGTTTGGCTTTCTAAGACCCCGGGAGAGTCTTTTTTAACTGTTCTCCAACACTTTTTTATTTATCACAGCCACGGAGAATCATGTTAAAGGCTTCAGCCAGTGTCTCAAAGCACAAACTAGAGACCCAGGACAGTTTGTAAAATATATTCATATTTTTACCTCCTTGTGCTGCCAATCTCCTGAGCAATCCTTTGTCAAATTTATTTTGATTTATTCAGCAGTTCTTTAAATTCTTTGAAATGTTTGGTTTTTGTTACACTGCAGAATCTGAGAGCTCAGGGAAAGCCCCTCTCCTTCTCCCTGAGAGTCTGGTTGTGCGGGTGGGGGAAGAAACGGAGCAAAAGAAACCCCACACCCCAATGTAAGGAAGCCTGGGGGAAGGCCTAGAAATCAGTGGAAAATTAATAATAAAATTCCTCCTGAGTGACGGGAATCCCCCTTAGGCAGCAAGTCTCAGCAAGCAGTCAGAAGCAGGCCCTGCCAAGCCTGGGCATAGGGGAAGAAGGGCTGCCACCTCTCTCTCTCCCCCCGCCAGCATCACCTGATTATGGGGGTTGTATTTACTCCATCCCCCCACCAAGGACCCAGGTGGCAGACCGCTGGCTGGCTGGGAGAACTTGGGATAGCGAGTCCTCCCAGGCCACGTGAAGCTCCCAAGAGTGCGTCTGGCACCAGCCGGTACCGCCCTCTCGCGCACCTGAAAGCGCCAGGGCACCTCCCTTGGCGAGAGCTACCGGAGGACGGTGCCGCTGAAAGAGCCCTGGGGGATCCCTCCCCTCGCGGAGGCACTCGCAGGGCTTCCAGGCAAGCGAAAACAGCGCCGTTGGAGGGATGCGGGTGAGGGCTGAATGCCCCATCGGCATCTTCCAGCAAAGACGGATCTCCCGCTTAGGGCCACCTCACACCACCAAAGGATTCAAAGGCTGGTTCCGCCCGGCCCTTCACCCCGCTTGCTCCACTGTTCACCTTCCTGAATGGCAGGACAGACAGAAATCTAATTCACCAAGAAATGCCTGATGTCGGGGCACGGAGAGGGCTCAGCAACAGCCAGTCTCTCCCCGGTTGAATGACTCCCGGCCATTCTTTGAGCAGCAGTATCCAAATGGGCTGCAGGTCTGCGATGTTTCTCCACTTCCCAGTCTATCCCACCATCCTGGGACCTGCTGGTGGCTTTCTTTTAAATAGGAATCAGGGCTGACCCTGCTCAGCTTTTTTCGGAAGTACCCAAGGTCAGCGTTGTCCTGCTCCACACAGGGCAGGGCGAAATAACTTGGTGGCACATTCATCCTTGTATAATGGAACATGCTGCTTTTCGCCTTTGCCAACTCCAGGAGCATCGTCTGGCTAAAAGGGAAGGGTCTTCTCCCCGATGCGGGATCAGCCACGCCCACGTGGCTCTCATTTCTAACCTTTGCAAATGAGCAATCAACAATGAAGCTGATTTATCTGTTCTGAAGACACTCCAGAAGATCACTCAGGTGCTACAGGACTCAGTACCACCCAGCAGAGCACCTCAGAGGTTGCTCAAAAGACTTCTGGGGTGAAGGGTGGTGCCCCAGCCACACATTAGTCAGGATGTCTTAACCCTTTGACCGGTGTAGATGTTCTAATGCCCAAACTATTACTATTAGATTTTCATCTGGGAACAAAATAGGAAAAGAGGGCAGGATCACTCCATTCTGTTCTCTGCTGCAAGGCTGACAGCATCCTGAATCAGAAAAATAGGGAGGATTCAGTCAAGTTCTCCCATTTCCTGCCGATGTCAGAAGATACCGCCACTACCATTAGTACGGCTACTAGTGCTAGTACTACCGCTTCCCCCTCCTTCCCCAATCAAATTTGTGCCGAGTGTGGTTTGGCCTTGAAAGAGAAGCTAATCTTCGGTGGCCCAAAGCTTCCCAAATATGCAGATAATCCACGGTCTTGAATTCTGGGCCGCTGCAATAGAGGCATTCAACTAAAATTGGACAAGTGTCCTTGATCAAGATCAAGAAAAACTGGGGAGGCTCGGTCTTTTTTGGGGAAACCATTCCTCGTTGAAACTTGGCAGGGCCTTGCTAAGCCCTCAAGACTTTTGGGACCCCGAGATCAGGCGCAAGCGGTTTTTGCTTGGCACAGCAAGACCCGCTGCCCAGCTCCACGCCCAAAAGGCATCCTGCAAAGGCAGAGACTGGAAGATCAAGATGGAAGGAAACGAGAAGGAAGGCAGCCGTGGAGGAACTTCCACCTTTGAGAAAGGCGCAGAAAAGCGATGAAGGAGCCGGCTCTGCGCCTGCCCAAGGAGCGCCCGGCCAAAATGACAGGCCTGGAAATGGCATCGGGACGTCAGCTCGACAGACTCTCGCATCGCTTCCCGAGCCCTGCCCTGGACCAGGAGAGGACAAGTTTTCCTAGCACTCCCCTCTCACCTCCTGGAACGTGTCTCAGCAAGCTCGGCCTCTCCGCTGGAGAAAAAGGCCGCTCGCTTTCCGGCACTCCGTTCCCTCCAGAGGTGCAGAGACAGGCGGGGGGCGGGGGTGGCACTCCGCTGTTCCTGGAAAGGGTGACGCAGCAGTTTTGAACGGACGCCGTGCAGCAAGCCCTGTTTTTCTCCACCTCGCCATCCCTGCAGGGAGACCGGGACGGTGAGGATTTCTTGCCCTAGCTGGAAAGACTGCAGATTTTGGCCAGGGACAGAAGGCGTCCCGAATCTTCTTCCAAACCCTAGGATTTGAACCCTGCATGGAGCAAAAGAGGTCTCGCCATCGTCAGTTATTTGTAAGAGGTCTGTCATCTCCTGGAGGGCAAACAGGTGGAGGAGCACAGGGTAGTGGCCTCCAGAAAGACCGAGGGGAAAGTCAGAATAAAAGAAGAAATGGTGAGCCACTTGGGACAGACCAAAGGAAGCAAAAAGCTTTTAAATAATCCATCTACAAGGATGAAAAGTACCTAACTCTACCACCACCACCTCACCAAAATAAATGGATTTCCTCCTCAGCGTCAGGGAGTCACAAGGGAAGGCTCTTTCCACAGGGACCAAGCATGGACCAGCTCATGGGTGTCTTTGTTAGGGGTGCCTCCCCAAAACAATTTAGGGTACAACCCTGCAGACAGTCAGGCTGTGATCACTTAAGATCTTTAAACATCTGAGCCTGAGATGAGCAGCCTTTTAGTGGCTCGGAAGAGGCTTTGAGTTTTTGGAGAGGCATCCAACTAGGTTCAATGGAGGGAGCCATGCTGCTAAGGAAGGCAGGGCCAGACCTGTTTTGGCGCATGTGTGCACACTCCATTCTAAAACTGTGTTGAGCCTATTGTTGGGCTTCCACATGAAATGCCATGCAAGTCCCACCTTTAAGTGTTGGGACTCCCCTGTCCGCACAGCGCGGTTGGAGCCAAGGAGCCATACTGCTGCAGCCCCTCCATCTATGATCTCAGCCATGCCCAGGACCGGAGCCCCACTCTACCCCTTGAAAGATTAGGCAGATCAACTCTCCTCATCCAGAGAACCGCGCTTCCTTCTCCTTCCATCCATGAGAGCGAAGCAAAGGGAGCCCAGCCTCCGGGCCTTCTTCAATACGGGCACGGCCAAGAGACGTTCCTCACTTCCGCAGCTGCTCTCCCAGTCCTCGCCCGGCGTTCTGAGGCAGAGTAGTGCTGCCCGTGACTCAGAGCTAAATTTAAACCATGCCTCGTTTTGTTCAGTTTGGCAGCATCAGGAAATGAATGGGTCGAAGCAGCTTATTAGAGGCCTCAGGAAAGACGTTTGTTGCCGCTGTGCTCAGATGAAGCCTTCAGCCCCACAATTCTGAAATGCTCGGTATCAGTAAAAGCAGGTCTGTGCCGCGGCAACGGAGAGGCTCTTGGCAGTGGATCTAACCTTGTTAAAGGTCCCAAAACTCCCCAGTTCTGGCCAGGAGAGAAGGGAGTCAAACAAGCAGGGCTGTTGTTATCCCCCTGATTTACT